GACTGTGATTTCTCAGAATTTGTAGATCACTTTTAGGAGACTTAAGATCTTACCAATATTGAGTCTTCCAGTCCAGGAATATTGTATATCTCTTCACTAGTTTGGATCTTCTTGGATTTCTTTTATCAGCATCTTGAAGTTTTCATCCTGGAATTCATGCACATATTTTGTCAGATTTATACCTGAATATTCCACTTTTTCCAGTTAATGGTACTTGAAAAAATGGCATTTGAAAACATTTTCCAATTGTTCATTGCTAGTGTACAACAGAGTTGACCTATTTTTTCTGTAGGGACCCATATAGTAAATATTTCAGTGCTTGCAGGCCATATTCAGCTACTCCTCCTTTCCCTCCCCTTCTTTTACAATTCTTCTAAAATATAAACTGATTCTTTGCTTATATATCTTACAAAAACAGGCCATAGGTCAGATATGGTCCATAGACCATAGTTTGCTAACCCCTAGAATATAAAAATAAAATTAATTTTTTATATTGACCGTGTATCCTGAAGTCTATTGCATCATCCCCAGTGGAATATAAATAATGCTGTTAATATGTCAATCTTAAAAAAAAAAAAAAAAAAACCTTTGCTTCATCCCACTTTCCTACCAGTTAATGCAGAGTTTCTTTTCCCCACCATGGAGCTAAGCCCTTCAAAGAGTTATCCGTACATAAGTTTCAAATATTTTCTCTCCCACTACATATGGATTTTGACTTTCCACTAAGGGCTGTGATGGTGAATGAATGAGAGAGAGGAGGAAGGGAGGCATGGGGTCATAAGCCTCCTGTTTAATTCTCAAGACACACTCTGGCCTGGCCTAGTGACTGGCTGCTGTGGGGTACCCATTCCTCTCCTGAGTGTGTTGGAGACTCATTCTGCTAGAGGATTCAGCGACAACAAGCTCTAAGACATTCAGTCTCCATTATTGTGTGTGTAACTCTGTGACTATGTGTGGGACTGTGTGTATGCCTAGGTGTCACTGGGTGATGGTGTGTGTGTGACTGTATGTATGTAATTGTGTGCATGGGTACATGCATGAGTGTAATGTGTTTTGCACATGTGTGTGCACATGTGTATAAGAGTGTGTATGTAAATGCAAGCACATGTGGGTACATGTCACTGTGTTTACATGTGTCTATGTGCAGACAGTGTGTATGCATATGTGATTGTTTATGTAGCTGTGTACATGTGTATATGTGTGTAAGGGTGTGAGTGTATGTATCTTGAAGTCACTGAACCACTCTAATAGTCCACACCATGTTATGCTCCTCACATCAACAGCTGTGGGAGGCTCCTACCTCTGTCCCCAGATCTCAGCCAAGCAGTACTAGAAGGACATTATGGAGAAATAAAGCCCTTAAAAGCAACCCTGAATAAGGACTGTTGGGTGCGTGTTTTCTGTCTCCCAAGGACTGAGACTCAGGTGCCCACAGTGTGAGCTTTCTCGCTGAAGCACCCTTTACCTGCTGCCTTCCCTTCACAGTCTCCCTTCCACAGTGCCCTACTGGCATTTCCTGGGATCACTTCCCAAAGAAGCAACTTGCATTAGAAGCCTTGCCTCAGCATCACCTCAAAATAAAGTATTTACACTTGAATCCTTTCATCAGGATCTACTTCCAGAGAATGCAAACTAAAAGACACACATAAGTGTACTCCTGCAAACACAACAGCCTGTTATTATTCCCATTTTGCTGAGGAGAAATATGAGGCACAGAGAAGGCAAGTCACCTCCCCAAGGTCACATGGCTAGAAAGGGACAATTGACCATGAGTCATCTGTTCCCAAGCAAGTGCTTGTACCTTTCAAGGGAGTAAAGAACAGTGTAGCTTCATAGACTTCAAGATAGTTGATGTCCATGCCAGTGGAGACCAAGGCTCATGGTTGGTGTCTTTGTCCTCCTTTTGTCATAAAATAAGTGAAATAAAGGCAATTATTCAGGCTTAGTGATGACTGTGAGCCTGGGAGTGTTGTTATTAGCACTTAACTCATTTCATTTGAGTTTCACATTTGATTTTGTTTGTCATTACCCTCAATTTTGGGGTTAGAAATTGAGGTACAGAAAGGTAAAGAGACCTGCCCAGATTCACTCCGTGGGGCCTGATTTGGCAGCTGAAGTCCTAGTTCTCAATCTCATTTCTCTCTAGTTTCTACAGATCCTATGTATTGCTTACTGCCACCTAGGTGGCATAGCACTAAGCAAGCAGTCAGCATGGTATTATGCACAAAGCTATGAATTCTTCCTCTTAAAAATATGATTTGTAATTACCTAGATTACCGGTCATAATGAAAAATGCTTTGCAGGTTTCATCTAAGAAAAGGAAACAATTGGTTAAATGTAGACATTTAGCAGAATCATTGTGTCTCCTATTCCTCCCTCCCATTCCCAGTGTTGGGTATAATTTTTCAGCATTTTCCATTCCTACGCAAACACGGACATGCACATGACTTGTCTGCTGAGGTGTCCTATCCCTTTGGTCAATGTAATAGTCGGGTTCTGGCAGAGACCTCAAATGAACTACATAAGAGTTGGTTTAAGTAGGGGCCATTTACAAAGTATAAGCTCTACAAACAAGGACTATTGCATGCCACTGGTTCTACAAGCATTAAGGCATTAATTGAGGAATTAAGGACTGTCTTTCCCATACTGTCCTGCTCAGTAGCTCCTCTAGGAGCCCCATCCTTCAAGTTTTCTGTCCACCTCAGACCACCCCTCAGAGCAATTCTGGACAGGATCAAGAGAGGGCCAGGAGGAGATGGTATATCCATTGGAGATCCATTGGGTGGTGCATTCAGAATATGGTTGTATGATCCAGCCATGTGGTGATACAAGGACCTCAAGATATTGCCCCACTGGGGTCACCATATTGCCTGAGATTCCACCATTATAAATGTCCCTGGATTAACTGAGCATTGTCCCTTATAAATGGGGGTAGAGCAGCATGTCAGAGGGGAAAGGCTTAGTCTTGGGGATAGGGCAAACAGATTCCTTCCAGCTCAACAGCTTAGGCTGAGGCTTGCCTTCTTTGAGCCTCAGTTTACTTTTCCTTTAAATAGGTATCGTCCCTCCTGCCATCACTTGAGTCTCCTGCCTGATCGCAATGTGTTGGCCAAGAGCACCGAGGGAAGGAGGAAGTATTATCTTGTTGCAGAACATCTGACGCACAATAGGTATGCTTTATATACTGTATACATTATAAAGAACACCTGACTCACAGACAGAGTATTTTGTGTACAGTACCTGGCACACAGTAGGCATGCTTCATGAATACCCAGCACATAGTAGATGTTCTTTGTGCAGTACGCTGGCAACTCAGCAGGCGTGCTTTATGTAGAACACCAGGGATACAGCAGAAAGGATTTGTTTAGAGTATCCAGCGTACAGTAGGCACGCTTTATGTAGAGAACCTGACACACAGTAGGCATATTTACATAAAGCACCAAGCACGCAGTTGGTGCTCTTAACATAGAGTGCGTGGCACATAGCAGGGACGCTTTATATAGAGCCCCGGGCACTAAGTAGGCTGCCTTCTGAAGAATATCCAATACACAGTAGGCATGCTCCATTTGCAACAGCTGGCACAGAGTGGACCAGATTTGTGAAGAGTACTTGGCATACAGTAGATAGGGAGGAGATAAAATCAGTCAGTCCTAAAGGCAATCAACCCTGAATAGTCATTGGAAGGACTGATGCTGAAGCTAAAGCTCCAATACTTTGGCCACCTGATGTAAGAAGCTGATTCACTGGAAAAGACCCCGATACTGGGGAAAATTGAGAGCAAGAGGAGAAGGGGGGCAACAGAGGATAAGATTGGATGGCATCACTGACTCAGTGGACATTAGTTTGAGCAAACTCAGGGAGAGAGTGAAGGAGAGGGAAGCCTGGCGTGTTGCAGTTGATGGGGCTGCAGAGAGTCAGACATAACTTGACAACTGAACAACAGCAAGATGCATTTTATGTAAGCACCTGACACACAGTACACATGCTTTATATAGAGCTCCTCACACACCATAGGCATGCTTTTTGAGGTATCCGGCACACAGGTTTTACATACAGTTCTCTACACAGAAGAGGCTAACTTTAAGTGGAATATTGGCAAAGAGAAGCGTGAGTACTAGGTGACAGGCCTTTTCCCTCATTCCACCTTTTGGGGGGATCCTGATCTTCCCATCTTATTGTGGGACTCTCCTTGGTTCCTCTCTCAGGCTCTCATCTAACATCCCATTTGCCAGATGGGAAGACTGAGCCCAGGGAAGGTCAGCACAGCCCACAGTCAGCGTGAGGCTGCCCGCTCACAATCTCCCGACTCTGTCCTCCACTGAGCAGATCTTGTTCTCTATGAGCCCCTTGCAGCCTTACCCTCAAGCCTCCAAGTGCCCTCTTCCAGCTGCAGGCTTTTTATCCCATGAGTTGGATGCAGGCAATGCCCATCCGGGCTAGTTTCTCTGCTCCTGCTCCCAGAAATCATGTCTCAAAGAAGGCCTCAGGCTGTTCGGAGGAAGGGCTTGAATACCTTTCCAGGCTGTGTGACCCAGATGATAGAAACTTCATGTCTCTGAGCTTATTGATTCTGTGTTAAGAGATGGTGCACAAAGCCCTCCTGGCCCTTGCATGGAGCGGAGCCCCAGACATGTTTTGGGATAAGGCTGGGGCCAGGTCCTACTTACCTGGCACCTGAATATACATATTTTACCTGCTGTACCCTGACCTTGGAAGGGCAGGGCTGGTTGTAAACTGGAAAGCCAAGAATCACCTTTGCCCATACCCCAGTGTGCCCACATGGGACATGCTGAGTCATGAGGACTCAGGGTCAACAATGTGTGATTCTGAGCTGGTTCACAAGCTGCTTTCAATAGCACTGTGCTCCCCCTCCCCCACCTTCTATTTGGGCAGCTGCCAGGTAGGGCGGATGTAAGCAGGCTCAAGGGATTGGCTGGCTTACACTGGCCAATGGCAGCTTCCCATAGGTTCAGGGGCCAAATAAAGCCATCCTAGGAGGAGAGGAGAGGAACTTGTGTGAGACAAGCCACTCTTGACAGAAGGTGCCAGGCTGGGGTCAAAAGGCTGGGGATCCTGGCCCATGGTGGGTAAGGCTGCTACCCAGGGCAGGGTGGCTCCAGGGAAAGAACTGGCCTGGGAGATGAGTGAATCCCAGTGGGTAACTAACATACATTCTTTGTGCATGTTTGTATGTGTCTTTCTGTCTCTATATTTCCCTCTTCCTCTGAATTTCTGTCTCTCCCTCCCCTCTCCCAGCACCTATCTGCCTGTCTCTGTCCCCAGAGTGCTGTCCCCAGCACTCCCCATCCCTGCCCTTCACTCCCTTGCTCCTCTCCCTCTATCCATCTCTGCCTCACAGCTCATCACTGCCTCTTCCTTTATCCTCAGGACTCAGCCTCCACTCTGACTGCCCCACAGGATGCTGGAGCTGAGCCTGTCCTGGCTGGGACTTTGGCCAGTGGCAGCCTCCCCATGGCTGCTGCTGCTGTTGGCTGGGGCCTCCTGGCTCCTGGTCCGCGTCCTGGCCTGGACCTACGCCTTCTATGACAACTCTCGTCGCCTCCAGTGTTTCCCACAGCCCCCAAAACGCAACTGGTTCTTGGGTCACCTAGGCCTGGTGAGTGTGGGCAGTAGGATGGGTCTGGGGGATCAGGGTGGATGGACTTCCCGAGAGTCAGGAATGGGGCTCAAGTTTGGACTGGGGTCTAGGATGGCAGAGAAGCCAGGGAGGCCGGGGAGCCCGTCTTCCCTCACTCATTCATTCCCCTGCTCTGCCATCAAGACCTTCCCCACATCCTGTCCTTCCAGCCCTAGCCTGCTTTAGGGTCCAACTGTTGCCTGCCTTGCACATGTTATTGTATCTCTGAGGCCGGGCTGCACAGAACCTGGTTCCCTGGCCCTTCCAGTCTCCATGGTGGCCTTGAGACCTCTACAAGTGTGCTATCCAGGGTCTTCTCTGCATGTGGCCCCTTTCCTGTGTCTTTTCTCTCTGGGTTACAGCTTCCTCACAGGAAATAGCTATCACTTCCCCATTCCCACCTACAGGAGAAGAGCTCCAAACCTCTCCCATTCCCAGGACCCCTTCCTCTAACCCTACATCCTGCCCTTCCCCCAAGATGTCCCATTAGGCCCCTCCCCCATCTGGATAAAGTTGGCTACTCACTTCCTCTTTCAGAAGCCTTCTTAGACCCTCCTCCATACCCACCTATCTTGTGCCCCAGACTTGGACCTTTGACTTGGTCCTAGTCACAATTAATTAAACAGTTAATTACCCAATTACTTATTAACACATCCCAGTTTGATGATCATTCTGGGGAGGAGACACTACAGTATCCCGTTCAGGGCTGGCACAAAGTAAGCACTCAAAATAAACATTTGATGACCCTGGCGATGAATGTGCCATCACTTCCCTCAGTCAAGGTCAAATGGCGGGGTATCCAGCTCCCCCCATTTCCCAGGCAGCTTCCCTCTCCTGCCTGGGACAAGAACTAAACTTGGAGAAGAACTTATAACAATTACTGTTCACTAAGGCAAAATTCACAGTAGGGATGTCCAAGGCTCATTGTGAAGATTTGCTGAGATTCTGGGTCTTGAAACGGTCTCAGCAGGTCTTGGAGGCAACAGTAATGTTACAAAGTGACTGCAGTTCTGTCTTCCCCAAAGGAGCTTGGCTGTGGGGGCCATTCTTGTTTACACTTCCTTCCTCCAGCCCCTCTTGAGATGTGACCTCGGCTGAGTCACACCCCCTCTATGGACCAATCTCATCTAGTGCTTTGAATCCTCACCTTAGGACTTTGGGGAGAGGGGAGCAATGCACAAAAGTGAAAATGATCTATGTCACCTGCCTAGAGCACCTGTGGTATTTGTCAGATTTGAACTGGGCATTATGAGGGGGAGGGTGCTTCACCAGGAGAAAATCCACACTTTCTTCCCCTTTGAGGGGATGTGGCATCCATTTCTTCATTTGTAAGTGGCACAGTTGAAAGCGTTGTCCATAGAAATAGACAGGCTGCACTCTGCACAGAGAGTGGCCAGCGAGGGAGTTCCTAGGTCACAGTTCCTCGCTGATCAATAGACAGAGTTCATGTCTGTCCCTGGGGTCAGGCAGGGCTAGAAGGTCCCAGCTCTGCAGATCCTTTCCTATGCAAGGAAGCAGAGGCCATGTGGACTGGCCCAGAGATAAAAGGATGTGCGGCCAAAACCCAGGGAGAAGTCTGAGGTCACCCTGATGTCAACAAACCTCCCCATAAGGATTTCCTCCTGTGGCTGCCCCTGGGGCTAGGACAACTCCCAGGACCAGAAAAATTTGCCTTCTCAAACCAAAGTCCACCTCCCTATGGGCACAGAGCCTGGCTTCTCCCTGTGCCCTGGGATACAGCCTCAGGACTTGGAGAGCCTCCAGGTCCCTCCCTCCCCCAGAGGGAAGGAGGAAGCAGAGATTCCCTCCATCTGTGCAGGATCCCACACTCTGTCCACTGCAGTGGACTCTCCTTCTGCAGAGTGATGGCCCTTACGTTGCTCACAGGTCCCCCCCACGGAGCAGGGCATGAGCAAATTAACTGAGCTGGTGGCCAAATACTCCCAGGGATTTAGGGTCTGGATGGGTCCCATCACCCCCATCATCGTTTTCTGCCATCCTGACTTGATCCGGATCGTCGCCAATGCTTCAGGTACTCAGGCAGAGCTTGTGGTGGTGGGTGCCATGACACACCTCAGGGCCTCCAGCCCCTCCCTGACAAGCTTCCATGTGGCCCCTAAAGGACCCCAACCTCCCTGCCATCTTCCTCTTTCCTTCATGTATCCATCATCCCCATCTCACAGCTTCCTCCTTCCTCCCTTCTCCCATCGCCGTTTACACCCCACCCTGGTGTCTTGGGTGAAAGACACCCCCAAACGTAAAGACTCAGATTAGGACAGAGAGATCTGTGACCTGGTGTGGTCATAAATTGGCCAGAGGGAGAGGAGCTGCGCAAACGCAGAGAAGAAGCAAGTTTCTCTGCTGGGGGATGCTGGAAGGCTTCCTGGAGGAGGAGTTGCAGAAACTGGATCTGTAACAATGAGCAACAATTTTTAAAGTGGAGGATAGAATTATGCAGTGGGCATCCATAACATTCCAGGCCCCCAGCCACGCATGTCCTCAATCCAACCCATCCCCAGACTGAGAGCAATGAAGGCCTGTGGGTGGTGGAAGATCTGGGTTGCTATTTCCATGGCTATTTACCTCTCTGGTGTGTCAGTTTCTTTGAGTCTATCCTAGGGCTTGCACACTTCTAGTTCGGTGTCCTCCTTCTCCAGTCCCCAGGAATCTTCCTGAGGAGACTTCACCCGACCCTTGCCCCCTTCCCTTGCCCTCTGCCCTTCCCATCCACAGACAGATCAGGCAAGCAGGGCAGCAAGCAGCGTGTAACAGAGACCTGGGTTCAGACACCAGCATGCTGGGTGAGCCCAAGAAGGGCCCATCCTCTCTCTGCCTGCCAACACCTCCTTTAGCTGTTAATGGTGGAAATGCAACTCTACATGATCTACTGAGAGAAAGAGAATCAACTGGTTGTAAAATCCCAGGTGGGTGTCTTCAAGTTCAGGTGGACCCAGGTCTTAAACAGTCTGTCAGAGATAGACAATCTGAAGACAAAGAAATCTGTCTCCATCATTTAGTTCCGTATTCATCTGTGACAGCATCACTTTCATTCTGGTAAAGATGAAACCCAGAAGTTCAACCTTCATGGAATGGTGAGCCCATTCACAACACTTCCAGGAAAAGATACAATGTTCCCTTTAATTTCTTTTGCCTGGGTCATAGGACCAATTCCTGCATCCCTGAAACTCTGAATTCCATGTCTCGGGGGCACAGTGTCCTCTGAGCTCCTATTTTGGAGATAAGAATGCAGGCCTTGGATTAAACAGTCCTGGACTAGTGTCTCAGATTTATTATCTATAAGAATGTGGGTAAGTGACTCCATCACTCAGAGCATCAGTTCTTATCTGGAATAAGGGAATGGAAGAGAAATCAGGGGCACATGGTGTTGGAATCCAAACGGGGCAAGGCCATTTCTTTCCCCCCCCACCCAAGGGGCCCCAACGGTCATATATGGAGGATAAGGGGAAGGAGACTGCAGGAGGCTGAGGACTAAGGAGTTGCTGTTGAAGGTAATGCATAGGCTCAAGTCGGGATCACTTTTCTACAGGTGCTCCCCTCTGGCAGCCTAGAAGAGTGTGAATTGGGTCCTATTTGTTCCTCTCCAGATTCAGAGCTGGGAGGAAGGTCCCCTGTATACACAGGGCCTGGCCAGCACCTATGGGGATGCATGCTGCTGGTGGGTGGGGCCCTGGCACGTGATCATCCGCATCTTCCACTCCACCCGCATCAAGCCTGCGAGAGCACAGGCTTGCTCCAGGTAGATCCTTGGCCACAGCTTGTAACCTGTCATAGTTTCTGTGTTGCCTCTGGTGTTCAAGTGACCAGGATGCAGGCAGGGGGCATGGCAAAGATGCCACTGTCTCCCACTGCAGAATGCCACCTGCCTGACCTCCGGGCATGTCTGTGCAATATCTGCTGAATGGCCACATCTGGTCACATTCATGTTTCTACCTTGATTCTGGTTACAGCTGATATGTGTTATACCTGGTGACACCTGCTGTATTTTATAACTGAGCTCAGAGATGGTCTCAGTCACCTCTGGGTATCAGCTGTGGCCAAAGACATTTGAGGCATCTTGGAGTCTCTCTGGTTCTTGTCTGTGATGCTATTAGAGACTGTCTGGTTCTCCTGCTGGTCCCTCCTGGGGCACATTTCAGGTTTATCTGCAGTCTGGGGCTCAAAGCCACTCTGAGGAATGCCTGAGACCTTCTGTGAGTCTTGCCTGATGCAGGTCTTAGGGTGGGTCTGGGTCTTGCCTGGTTCAGGTCTGTATCATCAGCGTATTCAGGCCACACTCAGGTCAGGTCAGATGGTCTTCAGGTCCACAGCAGAGCTGCTGTGTCCTGTCAGGATGTGTCACACATGTTGGGACTGTGTCCGGGCATGTTAACACATGGAGCCATGTCAGACGTCTCAGGAGGGGTCACTGCTGGGGCAAGTGTGGGATCCTTGATCCCCATAAATGATGTTTTGTAGAGTGCTGGGTTATGCTTGAGTGTTCAGAAGATGCCATGTCAAGGAATGCTGGGCACGTTGCGTCGTGTTGGGATGTATCTAAGCACATAGAGTTGTGTCTGTGGGCTCTGCCTTTGCTCTATTCCATGCTGTAGCCTGTCTGGTTCCCCCCCTCCCTTCACAGCCCTTCCACATTTCCTGTGCTCTTGGCCCCATTCTGCTATGGCTGGCTTGGAGGGGGAATGCAGATTCTGGGTTGGGATCCTCCACTGCCCAACAAAAGCCCCTTGCCTCCCCCTCTCCTTGGGGAGAGGACCCTAATGGTTCTCATTCATGTCAGCTGCCATCGCATCAAAGGACGTGATCTTCTATGAATTTCTAAAGCCCTGGCTGGGTGAGTAACTATTTGCAAAGAGGGTTGGAGATGACCTTGGGGACCCAGGGGAAAGTTCTGCCTTTTGCCCACTCCCTGTGGCTGTCTCTGCTAGGGGATGGGCTCCTCCTGAGTGCTGGTGACAAGTGGAGCAGGCACCGTCGCATGCTGACGCCCGCCTTCCACTTCAACATCCTGAAGCCCTATATGAAGATTTTCACCAAGAGCACAGACATCATGCACGTGAGTCACTTGAACCCAGGGTCCCAGCTGGAGTCTGGGGGACACGGAGACTCATAGACATCTTGTCTATAATTCTGGCTGTTGTAAGTGACTTTGAGTCCATTGTTCTTCCTTTCTGAGCCTCAGTTGCTTTGGCTATAAAATTAGTATAATGTGATCCCTGCTCACAGTCAGTAGAGATAAAATATTGGAACCAGATCCCTGGCACATTGTAGGTGCTCAGAAGGCATTAGTTTCTATTCTACTTTGACAGAAGCCTTGGAATCTTGAGACATGCTTGATAATAATAATGAATATTGGGCTAGTTATTTCTAAGTAATAAATCACTTGAAAACAAGAAGGATTTTAGTATTGACAACAAAGGTCGGCCCAGATGGCTCAGCAGTAAAGAATCCTCCTGTCAGTGCAGCATCCACAGGAGAAACAAGGCTGATCCCTAGGAAGATCCCCTGGAGGAGGAAAGGGCACCCCACTCCCATATTCTTTTGGGGATAATCCCTTAGATGGAGGAGCCTGGGGTCACAGAGAGTTGAACATGACTGAGCACACAGGCACGCTGACAGCAAACCTATGAGTCAGTTGTTTGGTTCTTCTAGATGGAGACGGGATCACTCGTGTATCTGTGATCAGCTGTGGGTCTGACGGTGCTGCGCTGCGCCCTGCAGGCTTGTGAGCCACAAAATGTAGAAGGAGCTGGAGTAAGAAAGAGATATCAGTGCTTTAATGGATATGGGGACCTTGCATCTCTGAAGCAAGGTCCTGGAGGGATACCCCACCATGTGCAGCAGACGGCAGGAAGGGCCTGGCAGAAGTCTTCCCTACCAGGGTGGGGAGTGGAAGGTTACCAGTTGTGGGGGAATTGATGTCAGGTTGTTTCACAAGTTACCAAGAAAACTAGTAGAGGTGCCCGCCCCCTCACTACTGCTTTAATAAGCTATTGTGATGGAGATACTTTGATATAAAGATGAGAGCAATCACCATCTGGGGCTGAAGACAAGTACGTAGAATTTACTCATTAGGCTCCATGATTAAGAGGAAAGGTCTGTCATGTAAATAGGGTGTAGGTGAAGCAGGGACTGGTCAAGCCTGGGATGTACAGAGAACAAGAGGACAGCTGTCTTGGGTGGCCTGACCATACAGATAGGAAGCATCTCTGGTCTGGGTCAGTCTTCTCAGAGGCTTGAAGCTTGGTTGGCTACAAGCAGATCTAGGATGACCTCAGCTGGGGTAACTAGACTTCCTTTCATATGATTCTCTGCCTTCAAAGGGCATCTCAGGCTGGTTCATATGGCAGAGGCAGGGTTTGAGAAGACTGAGAGGAACCTGCAATGTGCCTTGGGGTCTAGGTTTGGGTTGGTCACCTCATCATTTTCACCACAGTCTGTTGGCCAAAGCAAGTCCAAGGCCAGCTCAGGATCAAAGGATGCTGAAACAGGCTCCACCTCCGAGTTCCTGAAAAATTACATTGTAAAAAATTTGGATACATACATAGGGAAGTGAAGAATTAGAGGCCAGGCTTTTGTGAAGTGCCTGTAATTTTTCCATGCTTGCAAGCTGACAAGGGAGCTTGTGACTGTTTCCTGGATTCTGCCAGAATACGTGAGACTGCTGGGTCACAGACAAAGGTTAGCCCAGCAAACAACACATGCTTCTTGTGGGTTTGCATTCTTCACCCAAGCCACCAAATCTCATGCAAGTGACACAGGTGGGCTTCTATGGATGTCTGCTCATGTAGTGTGTTTTATCACAGGGGAGGGAGTACTAGGTTTAGGGACTCTACGACTTTTATAGCCATTAGAAGCAATCCTGATATTTGTCCAGGAGGAGTCACTACCTCACTTCTCAAGCCTGCCTGCTACAAACACAACTCTGAGAAATGAGCCAAGTAAAGAACATCAGGGCCTTTCAATTTTTTGGCCTACCCAGCAAAAAAGTGTGTGGGTACTCTGAACCCACAAAGGATTAACACTTCTAACATAGGGAACTTCTTCCTAATCAATTTATAACAATGAAGATGGTAAAACCTAACATTTGTTGTTGGTGGTTGGTCAGTCACTATGTCCTGTCTGATTTTTTGCAACCCTGTGGACTACAGCACACCAGGCTTCCATGTCCTTCGCTAGCTCCCAGAGTTTTCTCAAACTCATATCCCTTGAGTCAGTGATGCCATCTAACCATATCATTCTCTGTCACCCCCTTCTCATGCCTTCAATCTCTCCAAGCATCCGGGACTTTTCCAATTAGTCCACTCTTCACATCAGGTGGTCCAAGTATTGGAGCTTAAGCTTCAGCATCCGTCCTTCCAATGAATATTCAGAGTTGATTTCCTTTAGGATTGACTGGTTTGATCTCCTTGCTGTCCAAGTGATTCTCAAGAGTCTTCTCCAGCACCAAAATTTGAAGCATCAATTCTTCAGTGCTCAGTCTTCTTTATGGTCCAACTCTCACAGCCATACATGACTACTGGAAAAGCTATAGCTTTGACTATAAGCACCTTTGTAGGCAAGGTGATGTCTCTGCTTTTTAATTCACTGTCTAGGTTGGCCATAGCTTTTCTTTCAAGGAGTAAGTGTCTTTTGATTTCATGGCTGTGGTCACTGAATAACAATTGTTAGCACTTAACTTTATTCAAAGTTGACCAATGATATATAAGTATCGAGCACAGAGCCAGGATTCACAAACCCATATCTCCTGGCTCCCAGCCATGGAGACTTTATATACTAATAGTAACACAAGCCCAGTCTTCCCTGGGGCTGGGTGCCTGGGACCAGGAGACAGAGTCTGGGGGAGTGCATCTTGGTGTTTGGGACTAGGAAGGGGCACCAGGGAGGCAGTTCTCAGCCTCAGCTGTGTCTTCTTCTCTATTCAGGCCAAGTGGCAGCGCCTGATCAAAGAGGGCCACACCCATCTGGACATGTTTGAACACATCAGCCTCATGACCCTGGACAGTCTGCAGAAATGTGTCTTCAGTTACGACAGCAATTGCCAGGAGTGAGTCTCAGCCCAAGGCCTGGGAACATAGACCCACAAGAGTAGATGAGAGAGGGAGGACAGACCAGGGTAATCAGAAGAGTCTTCCTGGAGGAGGTGGCTCAGAGCTGGACATTGAAGGACAGGGAAGGGGAAGAGAAGGAGCTATTCCTGCAAGTAGGTAGAACTGTTTGATAAAGGCCAGGAGGTGATAATGAACAAAGTGTGTGCGATAGTGACAAGACACTTTGGAAATGAGGTTGGAGGAGTGGGCAGGTTATATCTTAAAGGCATTTGAAGCCAGACAAAGAGGATATGAACTTTATCCTGAGGTTTACAGGAGGCTATGAAAAGTGTTTCAGAAGATAAGAGTCATGGTCAAATCTCTGCTCTAACATCTGACTCAAGAGAAGACTGACTATATTATAGACCCTGGATGATGTTGGCAATGGAGCTAAGGAGAATAGGGAAGTGAGAAAGTGAAAGTGAAGTCATTCAGTCGTGTCTGGCTCTCTGTGACCCATGGACTCCTCTGTCCATGGGATTTTCCAGGCAAGAGTACTGGAGTGGGTTGCCATTTCCTTCTCCAATTGACCCACTAACAGAAGATCTGAGCTGAGTGGACAGTTTTGGAGAAAAATGGCAGATACTGGGTAAGAGAGAGAGGAGAAGCTGTGCTCTGGCTGCCTGGGGTATGGAGGCAGCTCACAGAGATGGGAAGCAGGTTGAGAAGAGTCTGGAGCATCACTCTCCTGGATCATCACCATACTGGAATCTATGGGCCCACCTGTTCTCGGAGCCTCAGTTTCCTGAAGGGAGGTAGCCTTCGACTTCTGGGCTGCAGGTGTTTTAAGTTGTTGCCTCCCTTCATGCTCTCATTCTGCAGGAAGCCCAGTGAATATATCGCCGCCATCTTGGAGCTCAGTGCGCTTGCGGCAAAGCGGAACCAGCAGATCTTACTGCACTTGGACTTCCTGTACTACCTCACTCCAGATGGGCGGCGCTTCCGCAGGGCCTGCCGCCTGGTGCACGACTTCACAGATGCCGTCATCCAGGAGCGGCACCGCACCCTCCCCAGTGAGGGTATTGATGACTTCCTCAAAGCCAAAGCAAAGACCAAGACTTTGGACTTCATTGACGTACTCCTGTTGACCAAGGTGGGCTCCTCTGGTTTCTTATTCAAGAAGTAAAATAGACCTTGGGAACTTGATTTTATCAAAGAGCTTGGACTGGATGCAGAGGGCACTGGGGAGCCATGTGAGATGCTCATGGAAGGGAGGGATGGGTTAGGATAAGTTTTAAAGATGACCAATATGGAATACTGCCTGCAGGAGGGCTGCTAAATCTGAAATTGTGAAGGGACTGAGATTTCACTCTACTTCCAAGTTAATAAGACAGGATATGTGTATATACATGTGTGTGAGCTCAGTCACGTCTGACTCTTTGCAACTTGGATTGTAGCCCACCAGCTTGCTCTGTCCATGGGATTTTACAGGCAAGAATGCTAGATTGGCTTGCCATTTCTTCCTCTAGGGGACCTTCCTGACCCAGGGATCAAACCCATGTTTCCTTGTATTTCCTGCATTGGCAAGCAGATTCTTTACCACTGAGCCACCTGGGAAGCACCACAAGTCTGTATACTTGCATACATATAAATACATGTATGTATATACACAGAACCCTAGATAAGAGCAACCTATGTATTATTTATAGCAGTAACAGTAGTCAGAGTAGAATTGTAACCCTGGTTCCCCATCCCTAAATTCCTTTGAGGGCACCATTATGCTTCTATCTTTACATGCAACCATGCTTGTATGGAGGGGAAGTACTGCCAAGTTTTGAATTCTAGAACTCTTTTTTTTTTTTATCACCCCATTTGTCATGCTGGATCTTAGTTCCCCAACCAGGGATGGAACCTGTGTTCCCTGCAGTGAAAGTGTGGAGTCTTAACCATCATACTGCCACTGACATTCTGAATTTTAGAACTAATGCAAGATATATGCTCCCTTCTCCCCTTCAGGGGTGGTCAGGGAGAGGGAAACAGAGAAAGAAAATAAGAAGGGAGCAGTGAGGTGGGAAGGAGGGGAGAGGAGTGGAGAAGAGATGAAACAATATGAGACAAGAGTAGAAAAGACAGACATTGTTCTGGAGTTTGAACAAATCCTCACTGGAAAGAAATTGAAGTCTATAGATCCACAGGTTTATAACCCATTCCTTATCTTCAGGAGGGAAAAGGAATCTCTGAATTTATTGGGTTGCCAAAAACCCAAACAAGCTTTTTGGCCAACCCAATACTATTATACAAAGTGAGCAAATGGCACTGAGGCAATGCTCAGTCTCTAGTTTATAAATTAAGTTTCCATTTAGTCATCCTTTAACCCAGGTTGCATCATATAGAAACATGAAAACATTTATGGATCTTTGATTCCATTCACCAGGGACAATTTAAGAGGCAAAGTGATCAAGAGGAAGTCTGTGTGGTGGGCCCTCTAGTGATAGTGTCCAGGAATTCACGATGGCCTTGGGCTTCTAGATGGATGATGGAGATGTTCAAAGATTGTCTCAGGTTAGACTCAGGTGCCTTCAGAGCTGGTGTGATTCTGGGGATCTTGCTTTCTCTCCAGGATGAAGATGGGAAAGGATTGTCAGATGAAGATATCCGAGCTGAAGCTGACACCTTCATGTTTGAAGGTGAGAGTCCCAGTGTGGGACTACAGAAGGGGAAAGAACTTGCTGAATGAACCCTGGGCCACCCTATCCCTCCCCATCCTCTCCATGGGCCTTAATGTGAGGGAGCTGTCTGTGCTCTGGTGCTGAAGTAACCCAGAGGCCCAAGCCTTTCTGAATGCTTCTCAGGCCATGATACCACAGCCAGTGGTCTCTCCTGGATTCTGTACAACCTTGCCAAGCACCCAGAATACCAGGAGCGCTGCCGGCAGGAGGTGCAAGAGCTCCTGAAGGACCGTGAGCCTAAAAACATTGAATGGTAAGTCCAAGTCTCCTGGTCTGTTTCTGAGCCCCTCTCATTGGCTCTGTTGAGAAGAGAGGGTTAGTTGGTTCTGTCATTGTTGCTTAGTAGGAATACGATCAGAGACTTGGCAGGATCTAGTACTCAGCATGGATAGTACAGCAAAGTTTGTTGGCTTTTTGGACAGAGTCCTGGATTTCTGAGACAATTAACAGCAAGGTGATACCACTTAGCACATATTCAGAAAGTGAAGTTCCCCTCCACTCTCTTATTTTTCTCTCAAAATAACATATCTTCAAAAATCTTCATTCCCTGAGTGTTTGCTCATCTCCTGCTCCATAATTCCTCATGTTGTATAGTCCAGGATTCACAGGGAACTTTTAGGGACTAAACCCATTCAACTCCTGTCCAGAAACACCTGGATCTTTGTCCATCCAGTTCCCATTTAGGAAACACTACCAAACTGCCATCCTATCCCCAGTTCTATGCCATCTCTAATTCATCTCAGCCCGATTCTGTATCCTGGAGACTCAGGAAGGACCAGACCCAGTCTTTGTCTTTCAGGAACTCCCAGTCTGGTGGAGATAGTATCAGGTCAGAACACTTCCAGTGTACACAGGCAAGGCTGGGATGTGGAGCAAGAGAGGAAAAGCTGAGAATGGACAAAAGTGCCCCAGATGAAACCCTGAAAGATGATGAGTAGACATTTGGGTGCATTTGAAGTGCAGTTAAATCAAGAAGACAGTCAGGTAAAAATTAAATAATGTGGGGAAAAGGAGAGAAAGACAGGGAGAGGGAAGCGAGGGAGTAGGTTTAATTGAATGTATGATTTGCTTGTGGAAAACAGATTACATCATAATGTTAACATACACTATCCTAGAGTGTGGAATGAATATCCATTTTTGCATATTCACATTAGCCTTTTAAAAGGCGTAGCCAAAAAATAAAAATAAAAGGCATAGCCATTAACCTTTTAATAGTCTAAAACTTTAGTATAAAGATCTTATGCAACTTTTGCTAAATTAATCCTTAAGTACTCTTGTTGCTATAGTGAGTCATATACTCTAGTTGGATTGAGAACTTTAAGTTCATTTGGAATACTGACATTCACATTTCTTGCTAATTTTAATGCATATATTTTATATCATCATCTTTTCTTACATAATCTATTCTATATTTCAAATTAAAAAATTAATAATTTATGGATGTAAATTTCTTGCCCAGCTAAACCTGGAGTCTCACACCAATAGGAAATATGAAGAGTATTTGATAAAAATTTGTAACGTGTAGGTAGCTCCATGGAAAAAGTGAATTCAACCTGCTCTTATATCTTATAAGAAAATAACATCTACATTAATCAAAGATTTTAAATATATAATTAAGGAGTCTCAAGGTGGATGGAGGAGCCTGGTAGGCTGCAGTCCCTGGGGTCACTGACTGAGCGGCTTCGCTTTCACTTTTCACTTTCATGCATTGGAGAAGGAATTGGCAACCCACTCCAGTGTTCTTGCCTGGAGAATCCCAGGGATGGGGGAGCCTGGTGGGCTGCTGTCTGTGGGGTCGCACAGAGTCGGACACGACTGAAGCGACTTAGCAGCAGCAGCAGCAAGGGCTCTAAAGAAAATAATGGGCAATTATTTTATAGATCCAGAGTAGGAAATGCCCTATTTTGGACACAGGTCCCAAGAGATGTACAAAAAGAGAGTGATGTGCAGTTGCATGAAAAATGTACAGTGCAATGTGTATAGTTTATAGTATGCCACTATATAATTTTTAATGCAAAACAGTACCCATGGAAGAATACATAAAAAATAACTATTAGTCTTTCCCATTCTATTGTTTTTCTCTATTTCTTTGCACTGATCACTGAGGAAGGCTTTCTTAGCTCTCTGTGCTATTCTTTGGAACTCTGCATTCAGATGCTTATATCTTTCCTTTTCTCCTTTGCCTTTAGCTTCTCTTCTTTTCTCAGCTATTTGTAAGGCTTCCTCAGACAACCATTTTGCCTTTTTGCATTTTTTTTCTTGGGGATGGTCTTGATCACTGCCTCCTGTACAGTGTCACAAACCTCTGTCCATAGTTCTTCAGGCACTCTATCAGATCTAATCCCTTGAGTCTATGTTAAGAATGTAACATATAGTGTTGATACTATGTATAAAATAGATAACTAATAAGAACCTACTGTATAGCATAAGGAAACTCTATTCAATGCTCTGTGGTGACAGAATGGGAAGGAAATAAAAAATGAGGGGATACATTCACTTTCCTGTATAGTAGAAATAAATAAAATGTTGTAAACCAACTGTACTCCAATAAAAACTTTTTACAAAGGAATTTAAATCACCACCCAAAATGAAGGGGATTAAAGAAAAAGAATTCAGTCCCCTTACTGAATCTTCGATGTCTATAAAAGTTTTCCAGTGAATTCTCTTATTTATTAAGTATAAAATCACTGTCTGCCAAAAATGACATATTCACCCCTCCCCATTTCAAATGGCATTATGCTCCTTTATCCCACCTAATTGCATTAGTCTCTAGTGCTGTAATAAATAAGAGTAAACATTGAATCTGATCTTTTACTCATTTGCCTTTTGACTTTGCTGTCTTGCCATAAATAATATTTTGTTTTTATACAAATTTGTAAATGTGTTTCTGGTTGGCTCTTCCATGTTTTGCTTTAAAAAGTTATAAAAATATCTCACTAAACTTTCTGTGGTACTTCTATGACATTGCTTTTTTTTCTTTATTTTTAAGAACCATTTTTTTGATGTATGATGGACAAAGAAAAAGCTGTACATAAATAATGTATACAACCTAATGTGTTTGGAGATATTTAAACCAACAATCCAATTTTGTTATAGATAGAGAGGGTCTTATGAGGCACAAGGAGGGCTGGTTGTATGTCTCTATTTTTGCTCCCTGGATAATTGTCATGGGGTTTCCTTAGGGACGATCTGGCCCAGTTGCCCTTCCTGACCATGTGCATCAAGGAGAGTCTGCGGTTGCACCCCCCTGTCTTGGTCATCTCCCGCCGCTGTACCCAGGACACTGAACTTCCAGATGGCCGGGTCATCCCCAAAGGTGCCCACAGTGACTAGGGGAGGAGGTTCCTGGTGAGAAAGAGGGGCCAGTCAGGCAGGTGGGGCCTAGACCTGACTGCCCTTCCTCTCCCACAGGTGTTATCTGCCTCATCAGTATTTTCGGGACCCACCACAACCCATCTGTGTGGCCAAACCCTGAGGTGATGCCTCCCTTATCCTTGTCCACTCCCCTCAGGGGACCCAGGGGAGGGTGCAGGGTTCTGGCTTCTGGCAAATCAGCCATCACCTCCCCCTACTATACAAACATCTGCCAAGTAGCCCTGTCTTTTCTTGCCCCCAGGTCTTTGATCCCTTCCGCTTTGACCCAGAAAACATCAAAGGGAGGTCATCTGTGGCTTTTGTTCCCTTCTCCGTGGGGCCCAGGTGAAGACAGCGGCCATCTGAGATGGGGGTGAAGAGGTGGGGGGAGGGGACTGGGGGTGAAATTCCAGGTTAACTCTGGGGGCCAGGAAGGGGGAAAACTTTAAGATGGTCGCTTTCTCTCCACTCCCCCCAGGCATTGTGGTAAGGGTCTGGGGAATGGTGGTGGGCTCAAGGAAGGGTTCATGGTGTGCTGAGGGGACCCGCTCCCCTGTCTACTGGTCTGAGTTCAGCACTGGAGAGTGGACTAGGGTCTGGAGATATGCAAGCCCACATAGGGTTCCAGGCATGGTTAGCTTCTTTATACTATGGGTGGAAATGGGGGTTGTGGGCCAGATACCAGGCGCTTTGGGGTCCGGGTGAGGGTTCCAGGTGCAGTCAAAGCCCCCACTCCCGCCCACAGGAACTGTATCGGGCAGACATTCGCCATGACTGAGATGAAGGTGGTCCTAGCGCTCACGCTACTGCGGTTCCGCGTCCTGCCAGACAAGGAGGAGCCTCGCAAGAAGCCAGAGCTGATCCTGCGTTCAGAGGGTGGACTTTGGCTGCGGGTGGAGCCGCTGAGCGCAGGCCAGCAATGACCCATCACCTTCTTACCTGGGATCCATCGTGACCCTAGACACCTCCAGATTCCCAGAAATAAAACTGTGCTTGTCATTTCTGTTCCAGGCTCATTGATGGCCAGCAGGGGCGCCTGGGGCCTGGAAGGATCCAGGCGGGTGGGCGTGGCTGTGAACCTCGGAGGTGGGGGAAGGAGGGAGGGGAGGGGGAATGGGGGCAGGTATAGTTATGAAAGCTGGAGCTCCATCTTGGATCATGAGGACAAGACTACTCCTTAGGGAAGGTGGAGCAGAGAGCTAGATGTAGTCAGGATCAGATGTCCCTGGACCCACCATTCCATCCCGTTCCAGTCTGCCATTTACTAGCTGTTTGGTTTGGGGAAAATCATATCACTCTCTAAGCCTCAGTGTCTTTATTACATAACAGTAGCCACTTCATTGCCATGTTGTGAAGATTTATAAACAAGGGTGTGCAGATGACTGACAGTATCTGGTAAGCATCCTCAGTAAGTGTTCATTTCCTCCCTTTGTTTTGCATCATTTTCTCAAACTTAACATGTTTTAAAGTTACATTTAAGTTTTAGGACTTATGAGAACCTGCTGTTGAAGAAAACTGTCATTAGAAGATTCAGTAAATTCCAAATCTCCATAATTACATCTGTTACATAGTTACAAGCTGCTTTGATGCGACGCTAGTCTGAAGCTAGGAGACAAAAAAAAATTTCCCCTCAGGGGAGCATGACCCAGGATTTCGTATTCATCTAGATGTTCTAGGAAGTGGGGGTCAAGAGGGTCCACAACAGCACGAGTGAGAGGGGTGAAGGGGGCAGTCATGGGGCCGTTTCCTTCAGCACCTGGGACAGCGGCTGCTCCAGGACTAGCCCCCCCTCAGGCTGTCAGGTGTCCTGGGATAGGGTCAGTCTCAGACCCCTTCAGGGGCTAGAAGATTCACTGGTTGCAAAATAAGAAAGAAATGTTGTAAAAATGATATAAGTAAGTATTTAACACACTCTAAGCTGAAAATTGCATATGTTTTTCTTTTTCTTGGGTTCTTTAAAATGTTTTTCTTTTCCCACCAATGATACCCTGTCATAGAAGAAACTATAGATAAGAAAAAGTAACAAATAAAAATCATATCCATAATCTAAACATGTCAAAGTAATCTCCATTCATATTCTCTCACATATTCTGCTAAATTTAAAATTCTATGTAATCCTTGTTGTTGCTGTTCGGTTGCCCAGCTGTGTCCAGCTCTTTGTGACCCCATGGGCCACAGCACATGTAATCCTTATAGCAGTAAAAATTTGACCTTGTATCTAAATGTATTACATTTACATGTAATCTCCTTCTTTTTTAAACTTCTTCTTAATAATTCTATTTTACTGACTAAGATGGCTTCTTCAGTGGCTCAGCAGTAAAGAATCCACCTGCCAATGCAGGAGACACAGGTATGATCCCTGGAGGAGGGCGTGGCAAGCCACTCTAGTATTCTTGCCTGAAAAATTCCACGGACGGAGGATTGTGACCCCATGGGCCACAGCACATGTAATCCTTATAGCAGTAAAAATTTGACCTTGTATCTAAATGTATTACATTTACATGTAATCGCCTTCTTTTTTAAACTTCTTCTTAATAATTCTATTTTACTGACTAAGATGGCTTCTTCAGTGGCTCAGCAGTAAACAATCCACCTGCCAATGCAGGAGACACAGGTATGATCCCTGGAGGAGGGCGTGGCAACCCACTCTAGTATTCTTGCCTGAAAAATTCCACGGACGGAGGAGCCTGACAGATTAAGTCCCTGGGGGTCTCAGAAAGTCAGATATGACTGAAGCAACTGAATATGGCCCAGCACTAAGAAGCACATGGAAATGTACCCAACATCATTAATTGTTAGGGAAATGCAAATCAATGCAACAATGTGATACCAGGTCACACTCACTAGGATGACAAGACTATAAAACAATGGAAAATAACAAGTGTTGGTGAGGATGTGGCCATTGGAATCCTCATACATTGCTGTTGAGAATGCAAAATGGTGCAGCAACTGTGGAAAATTGTCTGGTGTTTTTCCTCAATAAATTAAACCTCTTGTCCAACTCTTTGTGACCCCATGGACTGTATCTCACCAGGGTCATCTGTCCATGGAATTCTCCAGGCAAGAATACTGGAGTGGGTTGCAGTTTCCTTCTCCACGTGATCTTTCTGACCCAGGGATTGAACTCAGATCTCCTGCATTGCAGGCATACTCTTTACTGACTAAGCTACAGGGAAGACCTCAAATTAAACCTAGAATTACCAATTGACCCTGCCATCCTACACCTAGGAATGTACCCCCAAAGAATTGAAAACAGGTGCTTAAACAAAATGTTGTACACAACTCTTCACAGTGGCACCATCCACAGTTGCTGAAAGTTCAACTTTGGGAAGCAATTCAAATTTCCATTAACAGAAAACTGAATAAATAAAATGAGATATATCCATAACAAGAAATATTATTGGGTCATAAAAAGAAATGAAGCAAAGATTTCCTTGGCAGCTCAGTGGTTAAACTCCGTGCTTCCAATGCAGGAGGTGTGAGATTGATCCCTGGTTGGGAAACTAAGCCATGTGCCATGGCCAAAAAAATTGTTTAAAAAAAAAGGAATGAAACACTACAATGCGAATGAACTTTGAAAACAGGCTAAGTGAAAGGAGTCAGACACGAAAGGTCACATATTGTATGATTCCATTTATATGAAATGTACAGAATAGGTTAATCCATAGAGATAGATCTAGGAGCTGGGGGAGGAAGCAGAGAGTAACTGCTAATGGGTACAGGTCTCATTTTCTGATGACAAAAATACCTTGGAACTAGATAAAGGAGAGATGGTGGTTGCACAACATGGTGAATGTACTAGAGGCATGGATTTGAACACTTCTAATGTTATGAATTTTGTGAATGTATGAATTTTATGTAAGTTTACCTCAATCAAAAATGTTATTTTATCTTCCATTTTTCTTGTAATCTGGATTTTTCATATACTAATACATCATGAACATCTTTCCACAATAGACAGTCATCATCTTGGCAGTCTTTAAAATTTTTTAATGTTAAATATTCAAGCCACTCTTTATTTTTGATCTCTTTATGAATTCTCTTTATACACTTTTATGGCTTGACATTATCACTACCAGCTGTAAATTGAGTTACTCTTAATCACATAGCTTTTGGTGTAGAAATTTTATTTCTATAGCAATATTTGCACATATATTCATGTAAGATGTGTCTGTGTTTAAGCACTTTTCATACAGCATGTAAGGCTTGGTGACTCCACAGACATTGATGTTTTTGGTCCTATTAACAGAGGTAGACCACTGGAAGGCAGAAGGCAACGACACTTCAACTCCCCCAGGTAAACACCAATTTCACCTCACGTCAATCTTATGGATTGGAGAGATTGAATCACCAGCTCAAGGTCATTCAATTGATGAGTGACCTTGTAAGTGAGGGGTCCGTTCAGTCAGCTTGGCTTCAAGTGTCATGCCTCACCTCCCAGGGAAGTGATTTTCAAGGTGTGTCTCAGCTCCACATGCATCAGGTCACCTGGAGAAGACCTGTAGGCCTATCAGATGAGATTCTGCTGGGTGGTGCCTAACTTTTTTAATGCAATATTATTGACAGGGAATTCGTTCACTCGTGTAGAAAATAAGATGCTCAGTGAAATACATTGGTCTTCCATATGATGTTCATTTTCCCAGTTTTTTCATCTATACTTTTTGTATAGTACTTTTTTCACAGTGTGTGCGTTGCATGTTCAGTTGCTTTAGTCATGTCCGATTCTTTCCAACCCCAAGGACTGTAACCACCAGGCTCCTCTGTCCCTGGGATTTTCTGGGCAAGAATGGGTTGCCATTTCCTCCTCCAGGGCATCTTCCCAACCCAGGGGTTGAACCCAAGTCTCCTGCATTGGCAAGCAGATTCTTTACCACTGAGCCACCTGGAAAGCCCATCATTTCACAGTATATTTATGCAAATAATATATATGCTTAGTTACCCTCAGCTTCTCTTAAAATTGTATGTAAATTTACAAAATTTACAAAAAGTAAAGTTTGCTCTATTTGGTGTACAGTTCTGAGTTTTGAAATGTCTAGAGTCCTATAACCACCACTAATATGGTTAAAAATCTTTTCACCCAAACTCCTGCCAAATATGTAGGACAATCTGGGAGCCATGTCCAGTCATGTTGGGGCATATTGTATCATGTTGGGGTGTATCTAAGCTCACAAGGTGGTACCTGTGTGTTCTGCCTTTGCTTCATTCTGTCCTGCAGCCTCGTCTGGGAGGACCAGGTCTGGTCCTCCCTCCTCCCATTACCCCTCCTTCTAGCTTCCTGTGCTCTTAACCCCATTCCTGCCATGCTGGGCTTGGAGGGAGAATGCAGATTCCTAGCTGGGAGCCTCCAATCCGCACCAAAATTCCCTCCCCCCACCCCTACCCCCGGCCCTTGATTGTCTTCATGTCAGCTGCCATTGCACCAAAGGGCATGCTTTTCTACAACACTCTGAAGCCCTGGCTAGGTGAGTAATTGTGAGTTAAGGGGGTTGGGGATGACCCTGGGGACCCAGGGGAAGGTCTTCCTTTGCCCACTCCCCGTGGCTGTCTCTGCTAGGGGATGGGCTCCTGCTGAGTGCTGGTGACAAGTGGAGCAGGCACTGTCACATGCTGACACCCGCTTTCCACTTCAACATCCTGAAGCCCTATATGAAGATTTTCACCAAGAGCGCAGAGATCATGCACGTGAGTCTCTTGAACCCAGGGTTCCAGCTGGAGTCTTGGGGATAACAGGGACTCATCAATGTCTTGTCTGGAATCTGACTCTTGTGGGTGGCTTTAAGGCCATGTCTCTTTCTTTCTGAGCCTTGGTTTCACAACTGAAAAATGAGGATTATGTGATCCCTACTTTGTAGGGTGGCCAAGATGATGTAATGGAGTCATGTTCCTGGAACATGGTAGGTGCTCAGAAGGTGTTAGTTTCTATGTTTCCCTCACAGAAGGCTTGAAATCTTGAGACATGGTTGATGATAATGATTAATATCATGTAGTCATTATTCCAGAGTA